GCTCAGATCGGGCCGAGAGGTCTGGAGGAACAAACATGCTCCGAAAACACAAACAGCTGCAACATCTGGCAAAGTTGATCCATAACTTGAAGGACTTTTATTTTTATTTAAAAAATAAAAAACCAACCTGATCCCAACCTGAGAGCAGCAGCAGCTTCATCCACACAAACTGTACAGGTGTGTGAGTGCGCGCGTGTGTGTGTGTGTGTGTGTGTGTGTGCGCGTGTGTGTGTGTTAGTTTTTTAATAAACCCATCATTTGTGTCTTTTGTGGCTATAACTGGTTTCTGATTCAGTCTCAACATGGTGTTGAGGTGTTCAGATATCAGGTCTCATGTCCGTGTGTGTTCCGTACAGAGCTGGAGTCAGGGTGTTGTTAGCCTAGCTTAGCATAAAGACTGGAAGCAGGGGCTAAAATCTGAACATTTTCTGAGACTATAGTAATGTTTAGTAACTTTGTTAGATATAGTTTTATAGCTGTATTAGTTATTATAATAGTGTCAAAGTCACTTAAAATAAATCTCACTTTAAAGTCTATTAAGTAGCTTTTCTGGAGCTTTCAGTCTCATCACATGATCTTCATTCAGTTGGGAAATACGAAACAAAAAGACCCTGAAGCTGTTTCTAAAATGTGGTATTTTAGTAACTGTTAGCAATTATACAAAAAACATGAATAGCTATCAAGTAACACTGACCCGATGCCCCAAAACACACTCTCTAAAGTGCGTAAAGATAATAAAATAAATATGATTATTCATTTAAATGTTTAAATAAATTGGTGAGAACAGCAGCTGTTCCAGAGCTTTTGATCATAACGGATGATTTTCATCGGTAAATCCGTTTTTCTGATTATTGGAAAGTTCCAGAAGAGCTTCTAAATATACAGTCATTGGGTTTTCTATTTTTTATTAAGTTAAATGTTTAATGATAAAATCTCACCTTGAGGTCCATTTAGTATCTGGAGCTTTCAATCAAATAACTTCATCTTCCTCATCAACTAGAGTTTCTCCAGTTGTCAGATTATTTATTTTTCTGAGGATTTCTTCAGACTTTTTATCTTGTTTTGGAATTCCAATGACAGCTTGACAAATCCAGCGGCTGATGAAGATCATGTAATATGACCGAAAGCTCCAGAACAGCTACTGTACAGACCTTTAATTCTAAATAGAATTTCTGCCGTTTCAAAAGTGAAGAACTTTAAAAAATAAAATTACCTAACGTCCAGAAAAAGCTCTGGTTGGTGTCCTTTCTTTTTTATTAAAGCAGGCTAGCTGTTTCCCTCTGCTTCCAGTCTTTATGCTAAGCTAGGCTATCCACGCCACTGACTCCAGCTCTCTGAACACACACAGACATGAGACCTGATATCTGAACATCTCAATCTCTGACAGAGCAAAGAAGACGAGTTCAGAAGATGTTTCCACAGAGTTTTATGGACCACAGTGAGTCTGTGAATGATTCAAGGACAGCGTTTGGAAATGGAACTGTAAAATGAAATGGGGGGAGGATGTAAATGTGATTTATCTTCTCCTGCCAACAAGCTATCAGTGTGTCCTGGATCACTGCTTCCTCCTCCTCACATTTCCTCTCTTTGTTGGCTCCTTCATGTTGTTTTTCTGTTTTTTTCCAGCTGATATTAATGGATTCGGCCCAAAGCGTGAGTGCATGAGGGATGCGGTGAAGGATAGTTAGTGGGGTTAGTCGAGGAGGAGGAGGGGAGGTGAGGAGGAGGAGGAGGATGGACAGGGGGACAATCAGGAGGAAGGAGGGAGGAAGATGAACAATGTGTGGCGATGTTCGGTCGACACACACACACACACACACACACACACACTCACACACATTCAGACCCTCGGAGGAGGGAAACTGTAGCTCAGCCAGGCGAGATGTGTGAGCCCACCTTTTGTTTTGGTCGCCAGAGACGACAACATCACCTGGCACAGAGTTACCGCTACCTTCTAAACGAGCCTCGCTGAGACTCGCTGAGGCGCTTTGATACGGAAGCCAAAAAACAATGGAGCGCTTCCCCACCGCCGGGCGAGTTTTTAGACTTTACCGGGTTTTTTTCTTCAAAAAACACACCTGCGATCCTTCCAAAAGCAGCAGCTCTGCCGACTCCGGGCGCGTTAATCAGAGGGAAAGTTTCAGAGGAACAACGGGGCCCCGACTGAGAACTACTGAAGCGTCTACTCGTCTCCTGCAGCGGGAAACGCTTCACTTTTATTCACTTTCTTTATTCTGTGCACAACAACAACGCCTTGACCGGAAGAAACAACGACTGCTCTGCTTCTAGTGAAAATTCAAGAAGTACTTCAACTTCAGCTCATATTCAAGGTATTAATACAACAACATCAAGATTTAAGACTCCAGCACGACCAGGACGGGATGTTTGAGGCCGACTATTCAAGAACTTAAAGAATCTCATGATTAAATATCAGCTGATTCTAATTTTCTTAACGCAACACATCACATAAATAAACATTTTCCTTTTAATTTTCAACAATTGCGACCAAGAAATGTGCCGAGCAGAACATCTTACGATGTAAAAATAAACTAAAGAGTGTTTGATGTGCCAATATAAATACATCTGCTACGAGCTCGTTCATGTTTACTTGTTCTACAATCAGATCGTTTGACAACGATAATTACTTTAATCGCTCTCAGACAAATTAATGTTCTTTCCTTTTCTTCATTACATCAGATTTTCTTCCTCGAGCACAAATCCACCAAAACATATCAATAACTTACAACTTATAGTTGAACTTTAACTGACATTTCAACTGCTTTCAGTAAATACACTTCAACTAACTTCAGTTTTGGGGTTAAGAAGAAAACATTTTGAATGTTTTCACTACTTTCACTTCTCCAATAACTTGTACACCAACACGTAAACACTTAAACTGACACTTGAACTCCTTTCAACTGACACTTCGACTCCTCTTACTTCTTACACATCCTCTAATACTTCAGCTAAATGTTGTTGTGACCTTTCACCCGACACATCAACTGCTTTGATCTCACACTAAACTGACACGTTATCACCTACACTTGAAATGACACTTCAACTCCTTTCAATGCCCACACTTCAACTGCTTTAACTGACACTTCAATTCCTTCAGTGCTTCAGCCGTAACTTTCACAAACAATGTTTCAGTCGTGAATAAAGATACATTTTCTTTACTAAAAGTAGCCTTTAGATAATTCAGAGTATCAAGTTGTTCCCTGAAATGATAAACAGTGAAGTGTGTTTTGGATTGTAAAGATTTCAGCCAGTGGAAGTGGTTCCTTCCTGCTCTCTCTCAGTTGGATGAGGTTAGTTTTTTTGTTTTTTTTATATATAAATTAAACATTTCAACTGACTCACTTGCGTAAGCAGAGTTGGTGGATCCGTTGAGGAAGCTGGGGGATCCGGGTACGCCCAGGTTGGTCATCCCCGCTCCGTATCCGTTCATGGTGGATGTGATGGTGTTGTAGTTGGACTGCTGAGGCGTGGAGCTCGGCACGTAGCCGCGAGGAGACACGCTGTTCGAGTTACGGGAGTAACCTGCAAGGAGGGAAAACACGAGCTGCTGTCAAGAGAGAGGATGAGACCTGTTCTTCTTCATGTGTTTATGAAGCTGCTGCATCCTGAGCCAGGTGGGCTTAAATCACCCTGAAATAAAACCAGACTGTGGTCACCTGATCGTGAAAACATCAGAGTTCGTCTCAGCCCAATGTTGTTTAACTTGATGTTTCTATTTTGTAGACTCTCTACTTGTATGTTTAGAATAGAAAGAGGAATATAAGGGAAGGGAGATGCAAATAAGATGAAATAAAGTGAAACTTTTAGTCTGAAAAACACCAGCAGCTTAATGACACAAAAGACTTTAAATGATACTTAAAGAGTTTAAGGGAATTTACTCAAAATGGAGAAGATTATTTTTTAACAACTTTTCTAGGGAGTTTCAACCAGAGAAACCAGTTTCTAGATTCAGCTTCTTCCCCCCAACAAACAAACCTAATATATTGTACGAATAAGTCTGATCACCGGAGTTCATAAGACGTTTTCAGACCTTCAGAACCGAACCCCATTCATTAATTCATCGTTTTAAAACGAACCATCATCCCACCTCACAGTTCAGGTCATGCTGATGATGATGAAGATGAAGATGATGCACTGTGTGATCAGAGCTAACACAGCACTCAGGGTACCGGGTCTGGTTCTTGGTGATAAGGAACCCAGTGGACCTCATGATGAACTCCTGCGTGTAAAGTGAAGTGTTTTTGCGGGACTGTCTGCTCTCGATCTCGTCGACCTCCACGCTGTGACATCACCGACAGCTCCCCCCCCCCCCAGCCCGCCCCTTCACCCCCCCCCCCCCTGCGCCCCTTTACTTCCCTTACCCCCCCCCCCCCCCTTGCTCCCGTTGATTGACCCTCATCCAAGATGCATTGAATACCAATGTTCCCCCTGCAGCACTCAGCCTGACCTGTGACCCCCTCAAGAGGCTTTCCGAGTTCCCACCGAAACCTCGGCCCGAGCTCAGTGAGCAGAGCCAACAGTGTGCCAAGTAGCACATTACAGCTCTACCCCCCCCCCCCCAAAAACCCCCCCCCCCACACTTCCTGGTTCGGGCCAACGCAATTCCCAGCAGGAGCTGCTGATGGAGCGCTGCCCGGGGAGCGAGGAGAGCCGGCGAATGGGAAACACATGTCGGAGGAAACAGTGCAGGGAGCGGCCCGGAGAGCGTCGAGAGCTCAGTCCGCTAAATGTCCGGATTGTTCTTCAACAATAAATTAAGAGAATAAAACGTTTCTGTGCGGCGGTTTTGCGTTGGTGTGTTTCCTTGCCGCTCCTCGTCCACAGCAGCGTGGGAAGCAGGAGATCACATCCTTCGACATCCACACCGACGACTCAAACGGAAACATGTGTCGGCTGTTTAGGCTTTCTGACGATGAACTGGTGGACGGACTGGTTTCACTGAGTAAACCGTCAGAAACACTGAAGACACTTTTGTAACAGCGGACCGGTTCATTTAGAAACTGGACTCTTGCAGTTTTCAGTGCTGCGTTTTTAAATCAGGCGTCTTCGTCTTGCAGAGGAGCTGCAAATCTGTGCAGAAAAAAAGACGAAATATAGTCGTTTTTATCTTCTAATTATGTATTTTGTAGGGATTATTTTTTAAGCAGAAATCTTTTCTTGTAATTAGAGACGCTGGATGCTTTATTGTTCTATAATATTCTGTATATTTACACAAGAGGGCACAGAATGATGACATTAACATGTATTTAAGTGTTGTTTGTGGTATTCTTCTGAGGATAAATGATAATGTTTGTACTTGATTTTTGGGTTGTATGAATAGAAAATGGACTTAATGACGTCATAACTCTGACGTACTGAGTCATAATTACAAGATGCAGAAACTGCAGAGGAAAACCTGTAGGAGTTCTCGTAAAATATAATTGATGTTTGTTAGCCGAAAAAAATCCAACCACACGTCGCATTAGGTCTGTGGATTTGTTCCTCTGATGGAGCTGCAGCTCTGAACATCATCAGAGACTCAAACTGCTTCTTTATGTGTGTGTGTGTGTGTTTTATTATCCACAGCAGCAGTTTGCAGCTAAAATGTATCCTAACTTTCTTGTTTTCCTGACAATAAATGTGGAGGTTAATCCCTGCCCCCCCCCCCCTTCTTATAAGACCGAAACTTCTCACTACTTCACCTGACACTGGGCAGGCCGAGCTGCTCCGAATTAGCGCCGTAAATTACTCTCCTCGTCCGTCTGATAAGACCCGGGCTCGAGAGCCTCTGTTTTTATTAATGTTTTAATCACGGAGGATAATTGCGAGGGGGCACAAAGAGTCGTTTCACACTTCACACCGGGGGGGGGGGGGGGGGGGGGTTGTCACATCCTCGGTGTAATGTTTCCGACCGGAGAGCACATAAACTACCGAGTTATGAATTTTCTGCGCGGCTGCAGCCTCGTTTTCCCATGACCTCATAGATTCCTGTAAGGTGTTCGCTGCCGGGCCGATGTGGAAAGCAGACGATGGTTTGGTGGAGGTGGGGGGGTTGTGGTGGGGGGGTGTCGGGGGAGTGAAAGCAGCTCTATCTGCTTCCCGTCGACTCGTGTTCACAAGCTGTTTGCTGCACGTTTTCCTTGAACGGCCGTGACAGAAGCAGAAAAAGGAAACTTCTTCATGTTCAGACCCAAACCAGCAGTGAGTGTTGTCTACTAACAGGAGTCCTGATGTTCCCATAGAGCTCTATTAAAAACTCAACGTTCCTTCATAGTTTATTCTGACTCAATCACACGAACAAATACTCAACTAGAGCACCACATGTGGATTAATCCGCCGCTGACAATAGTCCCTTGATTAGTTTAAAATGATATACTGTATATGAGAGAAGAATGACGAACAGAAGAAGAAAAGTGATCTGAGCTAAAGAGATGAAACTCAGAGAGGGTTCACAACCAGAACGGTCTCAACAGGAAGCACAGGAGCCACTTCACAAGAGAGAGAAGAAGAATAAGAAGAAGAAGGAGAACTAGAAGAAGGAGAAGGAGACGAAGAAGAGGGAGGAGGAGGAGAAGAAGGAGACAAAGAAGAAGAAGAAGGAGAAGAAGAAGTGGGTGAAGCGTAAGGGAGATAAAATAACCCTGATGCAGAAAACAATAATGCTATTGTAAGGACATGAGTGTGTGTGTGTGTGTGTGTGTGTAGGTGTGTGTGTAGGTGTGTGTGTGTGTGCCCTGAACTTTATGACGAACATCTTTAATTTCGTGAAACTGACATCAACACTTTTCAAACTGCAGACAGTTTGTTTGTTTCTGCTCATCAGAGACGTCGATGCACAGTAGCAGAGACCAGGACCAGCAGAGACCAGGACCAAGAAGCCTGAAACTGGTCTCTCCTGAACTCTTAATTAAGTTTGATTCTGCTGGACTCTACTGAACTCTATTCAACTCTACTGAAGTCTGCTTTAGTCTAATGAACTCTACTGGTCTCTCCTAAAGTCTAATGAAGTCTGCTAGATTCTGCTGGGCTCTTCTGGACTTCACTGAAGTCTTTTGGACTCTACTGGGGTCTACTACAGCCTGATGAACTCTACTGGTCTCTCCTGGCCTCTTTTGGACCCTACTGAAGTAGGATCACGGGTAGTGGAGCCCTCACCCTGGTCGGCCTGCGAGGCCTCGGAGATGTTGACGGCGAGCTGACTGCTGAAGGAGTTCACTCCCATCATCCCCGAGTGAGCGGCGGAGCCGGTGAGAGACGGCAGCTGGTTGTGACTGCGAGGGACGCTGTAGAGCGCCTCGGTGAGGTCGGCCGCCCGCTTCAGGATGATCTCCTGGGGGGGGGGGGGGGGGGGGGGCAGGTTATAGTTAATTATAATTTAAGAACTGAATCATCTGAGTTAAATACGTTGCTGTAAAAAAAAAGCCCTGCAGGTAAAAAGCAGCAGACGGACGGACACGAGTCCAGCAGGAGTTCTAGAGAATTAATCGAGTCATTTGAGGAAGTAAATGACTCATGTGAAGGTTTGAACTCAACCAAACTAAAGACATCAAAGCCGGAGGATTCTGTGAAACCACATTAAAGTCAATGACATTGTTTTTAAAGTAAGTTTCTTTCTATAATTACAGCCACAGTGTGGTGAGGATTGTGGGAGATGGTCACAGTTAATAGGAAGTCTATAAAAAGTCCGGTTGGTAAATCCTGAGGAGCAGAATCCTCCCAACATGACGCCAGTCTGAGTGTTTAAATGACTCACCTGGTTGTTGTGTGGCATCCCGTAAAGAGCCTCCACCAGGTCGGCTGCTCGCTTCAACAGCACCTCCTGAGAAAGAGAGAGAGAGGGAGAGAGGGAGAGGGAGAGAGAGTTCAACTCCAACATGGTCCACAAAATGGCAGGAAATAGTAAAAACCTTCCAAAATCATATCAACCATCTTGTTTTGTTTGACCCAGGCAGCATCCTTTGGTTCTGAAGAGTGAAGCCGATGCCTCATGTGTTAAACCTGCATTCTGATTTATGTTTCAGGGTCTTATGGTACCAAGATGGTTCAGGGTCACG